GTAAACTGGGTTGAAGCGGTGTTTCAAACCTTATTTAATCAGATTGTAAGCTTCTATGTCCATCATGCACGCTGGTCTCGGTTAAGATCCAGGCGCCGGCGCCATTAGAACAAGTAAAACTCTAGTAGCCTCCCTTTTCAAGACTTAGAAGATTTTGTTTTGATTTTAGTTAGCTTTACTGCACGAGATCTCTTATTGCAAAAATTTGCGTAAACAACGAAATTCTAAGCCGCGTCGTTTATACAAAAGAAGATCAAGCGCCAGGTTTCAATTATAAAAAAATACATTTGGGCGAAAATTAGAAAGTTAATGAGAAATTGTGAAAGTCTTAGGGGAGAACAAGGGAAAACGAAAGGAGAGTAACTAGTATTGTGTACGAATTGCGCTAAGCATGAACAATGTCTATGGGGTTAGTGACAGCAACTGATGACCACAAAGCAATTCAAAGCAGCCTTTCTACCAAAGCGGTTGGCTCGAGAGATGGTGCGCTTTGCGTTCCTTTGCCTGATGAGCACGGTTAGCCAGCGCTCCTTCGGGTGATTGGTCGGCTTCCACGGCGGCATTCATCGCGTGGCCCTGCAATAACATTGTTGAAAAATAAAAGAACATAACCAAGTAACCAAGGATACATAGAGTAAACCATTAGTCCTTGGTTGATCTGAAGAAAAACTTGTCAAACTTTCTTTACAAGATATCACACAGCAAATCCAAACCCTTATTGGCCAGAGCTAACTCAGCATGTACTTATAAGATCGTTGGGGCTCCATTTATCTTTTATCATGTGCAATTAACTTTTTGAAAACTAACATTTGCTCTAAAAAGAATTGCACTCCGCTTTTTGGTCAATCACTATACTTTGAAATGTGTGAAAATGCTCAAGCAAGTCTTTGTTCTACTTACTGGAAAAATGTTCGGTTTACGTAGCTGTCGACGTCAAGAGAGGAAGTTGTGACAGCTTCGAAAACTTCACCGACAGTTTGTGATACCACGATAAACCTATTCCCCAAAATTTTAACTTCCATTCAACAATGAAGGTTGTTGAACGTTTTCCATGATATTTAGGTTTTGACATATATTTCACCTCAACTGTTTTCAATCTGAAAGAGGCCTACATATAAGTAGGATATCGTCAACGTGAAGCCGAGATCAAAAAGTAGAGTTTCTTCGACAAGCCGCTCATATTTCCGTACTAATATTGCATTTATCCTGACAGTTATGGATATTCTAAGGTGGTGGAAAGATAAGTTATGAAGCCACCTTTGATGCATGTCCACTGATGGCATGTTCCAACCAGCGCGTTTCCGTCGTTCCGCTTCCAATTCGTCGAGGAGTCTGAGGTCGACTCCACCCTTCCGGAGGGCTTTCTACTGAAACAATGGATTATCTTTAGACTGACCGAGAAAGCATGTATGAATTTATATTCGGAAGACTGTGTTACTTTTTGCTTAAGTTTTGTATTCGATAACCTCATCTTATATTGTTTCTATGAACTCAATGCTGAAAACCAACTTACCCCCACCATTGGTGTTCACCGTTTTGAACAACTCTTCAAACACAACGAAGTTAGTGTTTTGCCATACTGGTTTTGTCAAACCATATCGCTGGGAAAGAAAGCCAAGAAGTGTCACCGAAGGATTGTCCAAAGCAAGCTGCAAGGATGACTAACGATATAGTATAAATCTCGAAATGAAAGAAACAGACAAGATCAAAATTTTACTTTTATTGTGAATATCTTAGATATAATGTAGGGATTCTACGCATTGATTAATTTTAAGATATTGCATCTGCAAAAAAAAGGGAAGGAAATGCTAAATGGTAGTACTTTACATTATTTTCCCCTGCATTGCAATTCTCCACATATAATGTAAGAGAAGCAATATAGTACAGCTCCGAAATAACATTAGATTGGAAATCTATGGAATGCTGATAAATTCCATGAACTATGTATCTATACATGAAGCAATGCTATAAATGCTTTGTTTTGATTAACAAAAAATGTTTGGAACTGTGAGTTTGCCAGTTTGATCCTAACGCCCCAAAGTTTCTCTTATTGAGCCATGAATGTTCAAACCCAGCAGTAAAACTTCCCCAAGGCTTATTATTAGGAATTTGCTACTCAGATATATACTATTTGGCATCTCCAAAATTCGCAACTTTGGGGTAGTTAAAGACATAGATGTTTACACTTCAGAACGTTAGCCTCTTGTACAATGAAAGAAAAATTTGTCCAAATTAGCCTGCTTTTTTAGTGCTCACCTGGTATGGTTCGGCATGTTCATTGTGTAGCATATAGTCGATAATTGCTTTCCCATGTCCCTTTCGTTGTAAGGCAAAATGCACGTAGAAGTCGAGCAAGCACAAAACCTAAAACAACTAACTTTGCTAGAAACTGCCGTCGTTGTTGTGAGTATGACTAAACAGATGCCATATTTAGAAGGTAGGGTTAAAAGTTAGCAAAATGCAAAAACAAAATCTACTTCTTTGCAGCTATTCTCACTTTAAAATAGGAAGAGTAGATTTGTTATGGAAAAAAGACAGTTAGCATTTGAATTAATGCTTCGTCTAGCCTAATAGCCACTTGAAAGCAATTGGCCTCATCCTTTGCGAAAATTTAACAGGTCAAGAATTGAATGTCGTGGTAAAATAGGGGGTTCAGTCGGTAAACAACGAAGTAAATAAAGTCAAGGCAGCGGCCTTAACCGTGCAAACATCATTATTCGTATCCTTGTCCTCAGTTCAACTCATATAGGAGTCAAGTGGTCCTAAAACCGACATTTGCCGAGAGCTCTGCTATATAAGGAGTACAAATGTCTGCAGTGTGTGGCGGCCAGTCATCATCCAGATCACTTGTGTAAACTTCAGATTAATTAAGAATTGTGTTAGCTACTCTATAATTTCTGAGTTGCAGTTAAGTGCTTTGAGGCTCTAGAGATTTTACATAGAGAACCATCCATCCAAAGAATATGTTGTCAATGCAAAGTATATGTACCAAGATTTTTGAAGAGTAATTTAATTTGAAACCCAAAAATATTTGTCTTTTGACATCACTCAGTCGCATTTTATTCCTCCTCCTTTACCAATTCTTTCGTTTTTTTCTTGCGAAAAGAGCCCTAAACTTACTACTTGAAAACCAAGTCAACTGCATAATGCAAGCCCTTAATCACGTCATAAATTATATTACTTGTCGCTTTAGTTGAAAGATGCTTTATCAAGCATGACATAAACATATTTAAGGGTAACAAATTCAAACCATTTTTGGAGATCATTTTTCTTCCTAACTTTAACAACCTTCCAGACCCTTTTAATAATGTTTGAAGCCTCTGCACTCATTTGGGTTGTGCCTCGGCTTTGTCGCCAGCACTTGGACAACCTATCTTAAGACTTCTTTAGATGAAAGCTTGCTTCTTGCTTCTTGCTGTTGCTGTTAATTGCGGCCTCGCTCTATATGAAACTCAACCCTCTGGCTATGGTAGCAACAACGCCTATGAAGTGCAGAAAGTAGCAAAAAAGTCACCGCTACATAGATCTGCGGATTATACGAGTATTGGTGCTCCTCAACGGACTGACAAACACAATCGTCAGAAGGCGGAACAGGTAAAAAAA